CCGATGCCAAGTTGCTGAAAATTAGCATGTCGTCTACACTAATAGTAGTACAACCACAATGCTGTCAGTAGTCCGCTTCACCAAGACACAGGAGTCCGACTGGCATTGCACGAATCCAGTCTCGCACAGGAACTTGGTCACGGTCTCATACCAAGCGCGTGATGCCTGTTTAAGCCCATACAGGGCTTTGCGAAGCTTCCATACCGTTTTGTCGTTGCCCTCGGTGGGTGAAGTGACGAAGATGGTTTCAGCAAGATTGCTGTTCAGGAACGCCGTTTGCACATCGAGCTGAAGATGATCCCAGTCCAGTTGAACAGCCAGAGCAAGAATAGCTCGGATCGAGTCGTGACGTACAACTGGGCTGAGGGTTCCGTGTAGTCCACGCCATACTGCTGCGTAAATCCCTTTGCAACCAGCCTGGCCTTGTACTTGTCAAGTGATCCATCAGGCAGTGTCTTGCGTCGGAATACCCATTTGGTCTGCACTGGACGCACATTCGCTGGAGCGAACACTTCCTCGTAAGTGCCATTGCGACGCAGGCTGTCCAGCTCACTGTTGATTGCTTGACGCCACTGTTCTGCGTCGGGCCGAGCCATGGCTTCCTGCAACGTAAGCGGGTCGCTTAGCTCGCTGACCAATGCTGTCTCCTCCGCGTTGTGCGACTGCTCGTAGTCCAGCCTACGCACGGATTTCTTCTTGATGCGCGTACTGCGACGAGTTGGCTGTTTTTCCGCGCGAGGATCAATGAGATGGCGCTCCGGCAAGTCACTCAAAGGTTGACTGCCATCCGCGTCACTAACCAGTTGACTGCCATCAGAGTTCTCCATCTCGATGTCTTCTTGGATCGCTTCGAGATAGCGAAAAGGTGCGACCCCATCCACTGGCTCGTCATACACCTGCGTTGGTAGTTCTCCATTCAGCGTCACCGTCGTGTTTCTCGGTACGCTTGACTCAAAGAATACTGCAGTCATGGAGACAATAGCTCTCCCACTGCCTCCGTGACCACTGGGTACCCAAAACCGGTAGGCGCCGCTCTTCTCGTACCCGATGAAAATCGACTTGATGGTCTTTGCGTCGAGCTTGTGACGCTGTGACTTCGGCAGTAGGACTTCAGCATCACAGCCAAATACTCGAAGCCTGCTCAGCACTGGGGCGCCGCCAGTCACCCGCTTCGAACGGAGTCTTGCCACCAAGTACCTTCGTTGGGCAGCGGTTCCGGATGTATGCAGCCGTCAGCACCGCGTCACTCCAGAAGCGTTTCCCCAAACCGGCAACCTGCATCATCGCTCGCGCCATTATAACGACGACTCGGTTACTGCGCTCAACCTTGCCGTTCTGTTGTGGTGTGTATGGCGTGCTGAACTCCTGTGCAATCATGTTTTCATTGCAGAAGTCAGCGATTTCTCCTCCCACGTATTCTGCCGCATTGTCGCTTTTCAACACCGCCACTCTTGCACTCGGGATCACCACCTTGAGGTTGGCGATGCACTCGCGTAGCGCGCTCAGCTGGGTGGCCGAGCTCTTGTCCTTGACAGGGAAAACTGAGGCGAGATGGTATGGCTCGATCATCATGCTCACCATGCCTGTATAACCGTCCCGTGACGTGGTTTCCATTGGCCCCACATAATCGATAGCGATCACCACCTGCCCGCGCTTGAGCTTTCGCGGCTTCTTTTCCAGAAATGACACACTGGCCAGTTTCCCAGCTGCACAGGACCCACAAGGGAGCAGCTGCGAGCTTCGGGTTGTCACATCACCGGCTTTCAGCAACGCCTTCAAATCCCGAGCATTCAAGTGGCCCAATCTGGCGTGCCAGATAGCTAAGTCGTCCAATTGGTCTCCAGACGCGTATTCCACCTCAGCACAATTGCCTGTGCTGAGGGCCGATACAACATACAGCCCACTGGTGCGACGTGTAGCAAGTAGCTTATCGTGACCGCTGGTGATGACACAATGCTCACGATTGAAGGTTGCCGTAAGGCCAGCTGCTCCGACCTTGCTATAGCTCACAAGATTGCGCTTGAGGCCTGGGACGTACAGCACGTTGTCCATTGTGCAGGTACCGCCAGAGACGAGAGGTACGTGAGCCGTTCCGCGATGCGTAGCGCTCAGCTTCATGCCACTTGCAGTCGTAACCACGATGTCATTGTCCATCGTGTTCAGGCCATTGAGCAGACCACGCGATCCCGTCATGTGACTCGAAGCTCCTGAGTCAATGATCCAGTCAGCTCCCACCGACTCTGCACTCGAGCTGACTTGGAAGGAAAAACCGCTTTCCTCACCTTCGTCGTCGTCTTGTCCAGACGTAGCAGCGTGGCCAAAGGCACCACCAATTTGCTTGGCCTTGCACTCGTTCTTGAAGTGACCGTACTTCCCGCAGTTGAAGCACTTGCCCTTCTTCGCGCCTGGCTTTCCGTGCGTAGCAGCAGCAAATGCATTACCACCTCGCACAGCCTGCGTTCCACCACGCTTTCCGCGTTGCGTCTGCGTCGTGCGGCGCCTGGCTTCGGCAGCCGCCTTGATCAGCACTTCCTCCATCGAAGCACACGATTCCAGCGATCCAATGTAGCCATTCCAGTCAGGTCTCGGCCTCTGAAGGAAGTTGCTCTTCTTTTCCGCGTCCGTCAGAACTACCTTGTAGCACTCCAGCTCAGCAAGCATCAGGCGCGTCTGGCGGACGTGCTCCAGCATGTCGCCACCAACGTCGACATAAAGCGACATGTACTCTCGCTTGAGAGCCCCAACGGTTGTGTCACACACGTGACGATGCGTCTTCTGCAGCGCCCCCAGCATGGCCTTCGGGTGCTGAAGATCAGCCACCAACGCAGCTTGATCATCCGTCAGCGCTTCCAGAATGATGGTCATGGCCAGCTTCTGCTGCATCTCCAGTTGGTGCAGCGGTCGCTCTTGCTGCCGTAACGGCCGATCGGATTGGCCGGACTCTTCGTTCTCGAGCTGGAGCAACGTCGGTGCGGGCTTCAGCACCGCGCTCCATACGTCCTTCACCTCCAGGTAAAGCTGGAGTTGCCGCGCCCAGACTCGGTAGCCCGTTCCGTCGAACTTGCGAAGCTTGGTCGTGAACGCGGTCGTGGTGTTGGCACTCATAACCTGTCGAGTTGGTTGGAAGGAGGCGGTTGAGGCGAAGAAGGAGAATTAGAAAGTGAGTGAGATTAGAACTTACGCAAAGCCTGCTTACACCTAGTCTGCCTGCAGTCCTTGGGTATCGTGTCCAGTCCAGCACGCTGTCGTGTCCTACCTTGAAGTAGACCTTGAAATTGCCAAGATGACTCAAGTTACCGTTGCACCTGCGGTCTTACCACTTGATGACGCGTGATATGTAGACCGTGTACCGCACTGTGCTCACAGAGTAGCACGTTCCGACACGTTCCCGATCCCAGAGAACATCCCTTCAGATGCTGCTGCGCCGCTCATGTGCGCTGGATCGACCGTGTATTCTCCGCTTAAACGCGAGGGAGTGAAGGCTGGTGACCGTGTCGGCGTCGTGGGGATCGGCGGCTTGGGTCACCTCGCGTTGCAGTTCATCGTGCACTCGATGCGACTCCGATTGCTTTCTCAACGTCAACAAAGAAAGAAGAAGAGGCAAGAGAGTTCGGTGCAACCGAGTTCTACAATCTCAGCAGTCCGGAAGATGTGAAGAAGGCTGCTGGTACTGTTGTCTTGCTACTGGTGACGGTTGCCGCCCCAGACCTGCCGTATAACACGTACCTCAGTCTGGTTCGCAAGCTTGGTACACTAGTGATGCTTGGTGTTCCAAACGACGACATTCGATTTAAACTCATGTTTCTTGTGGGGACGGCATCCGTGTCGTCGGGAACTTAGTCGCAGCATCCAAGACGTTGCTGATACTCTCAAGCTTGCAGCCGAGAAAAACGTGCGCCCGATTGTAGAGAACCTACCGATGGATCAAGTGAACGAAGGTATTGAGCGCATACAAGAAGGAAAAGCTCGCTACCGCATCGTGCTGGAAAACTAGATTGGTCGATCGCAGGCCGGTTATCGGTGCGACCGAAGTCTGTGAGACAAAAATCGGGGCCTAAGTGAAATTGATAGAAGAGGTCAAGAATATTGGATTATCAATAACCGTAAATAAACCTTTTTTATCGACAAGATTTATTATATTTTAAATAATGTACCGACAACAATATGTATATGCGCTTGCTGCTAGACTGCAGTATTCTTAGCCATTAACGATTCATGTATCATTGCAAATACCTTACTGCTTATGAATAGCCTCGACCTAATTTGTTAAACGACAATGCGGGTCCATCCAAACCAAAGGACTACCAGAAATACTGAAGTATTGCAAATCCGTTCGAGGTAACCGCAACCAATCGAAACAGTCCATCCAATCAAGGTGCTTGGGTTTCATCTCTGACGTTCGAGACTTCAGGGCGTGGATCTACAGCAACAATGAAGTGACAGGATCTCCTTCTCTGTTTCACTTCTTCTTTGACAGAATAAACACCAGCGATCGATTTCAGCACAATGACCGGCTGGAAGACTGCTCTCGATGTCGTGACTGCGCTTGGACAAGTCATGTTGAACCTGAGTCTAGGTCCAGACATGTACACAATTCACCGTCGCCAGAGTATCGGTGAAATGCCCGCGCTGCCTCAGGTTTCGATGCTAGTAAATTGTCACTTGTGGTACGTTGATCACATCAAGCTAGCTGCCATGTGAAGTCTTGCTCCTGCTAAACTAAACTACGCTGTTTTGAAAAAGGATGTGCTACGGTATTCTACGCGATAGTATCGGTCGCAGTCTCTTAGGGCTTCGGACAGCTTGCTGCGGCTGTGTTTAACCTCATTTACTTTCACTGGAGCTCGAAGCAAGCGCGTAAGGACACGCTCAAGTTGTACGTAGCAGCGCTCGTTCTGCACTGTATGATCACGATCTACTTTGTGCTGTCGCTTGCTGGGGCGACTGGGCAGTCGAACTATGACTCGAGCAATCTACTGGGATACTTTGGTGTCCTCATCAACGTTTGCATGTTCGCGTCTCCGTTCGCAACTCTTCAGCATGTCGTGCAGACGAAGTCGGCCGCTTCGATCCCATTCAACCTAAGCCTCATGATTTTCGCTTCATCGGTACTGTGGGTGGCCACGGGTCTACTGGACAGCGACTACTTCATCACGGGCCTCAACTTGGCTGGTGTAGTGCTGGGTGCCATCCAGATCACACTGTACTACATCTATCGCCCGGGTCGAGGCGTAGTGCAATACTGCGCAAATGGAGAGCTACCTGTCGTCGTATCCCCAACCTTCAAGAGTGCTGGCATCGCGATGACCATCGAGAGTCCCGCTTATAAACTTAGGAAGACTTTAAAAGAGAATATAGCGATATCTAAGCACATTTCGCTTGCACTTTCAAACCAACAAGTGTGGTCATCTGATTGGTCGACTAGTGCAATGAGAGCACCTAACCCAGCAAGTCATCCAAACTGTCTAGCGTCACTGTCCTCATAATACAATCCTTTGTACAGAAGAAGAGGGAACTTGCTAAGTATCTACTAGACGTATAATGACATCTATGCAACGGTTGGTGACACTAAACACCAGCCGGTGACGAGCTCACCAAAGTGCGCAATGTGTAGCCTCATTTCCACTTTTACCAGCTTATTTCCACTCGACAATGGGTTTCTGGTACACTTTCCTTGGGGTCGCGACCGCTGTTGCTCAAGCCGTGCTGAACCTGAGTCCTGTTCCAGACATCACTTGTGTTCACTGACGACAGAAGATTGGAGAGCTGGCAGCACTTCCGCTATTAATAGTTGCGATGGTTGTCAACTGCCACTTCTGGTACGTCTCCGGTCAAGGTCATTGTAATACACGTACTTGACTTTAACACTTAACATATGCTTGCTATTGTTTGACTCGAACAGGTTAGTGTACGCCTACGTCACCGACACCGCTTTTCGCGACTCAAGTCTTCGGCCAGCTCGCGGCTATCGTGTGCAACATCATTTACTATCGCTGGAGCGTGCCAGACAAATGGAAGGAGTTAAGGAAGCTAAACGCGTGGGCGTTCGCGGCACACTGTGCTCTCTCCCTGTATACAATTTTCGGTCTATTAGGCGCCACGTATCAGTCCAACTCTGTATCTTGGCTACGTTGACATCATCATTGACGTCTGGATGTTCGGGCTCTCCTCTGGGCACTTTGAATCACGTGATGCAGACGAAATCCGCCGCCTCGATCCCGATCAACTTGAGTCTCACGCTTTTCGTATCAAACGACGTTGTGGGTCGCTTCGGGGATGGTCGATAGCTACTACTTTGTTGCGGGTCTGAACGCCATCGGGTCACTGTTAAGTATCATCCAGATCGTCTTCTACATGATTTACAGACCAATCGAAGACGAGGATTCTGTACTATCTGAGGCTACCGAATCTATTGACGAAGTATCCGTTGTCGTCACACCAACAGCAAAGGCTAAAACTGAAGTGGCTTCTACGCAGAGTCCAGTGTACAAGAAAATGATGTCGCCAAGAGCATGTTGAGATACTATCTGGATACTATCACCTTTCAGGAAAACAGTTCTCATTTGTCATTTATCCTATCCTCAAAGACGGGTCTTTTCGAGGGGGATGCGATAGACTGATAGATTGGACTTTTGACTGCTTGGGTGGTGTTCGAAGTCAAGATGACAAGTGAAATGCGCTTATCCATAGGTACAGACGCGTCTTCACTAGCAACGATCGACTTGTTCGGGCGGTAGTAGATGTACACGGAGATCTGCGTGGCGCTCAGAAAGACTCCGGTGATATTAAGAGACATGATTATCTTGTCGTCGTCCACGATCGATAGCGCAGCCCAAAGTGACGTGCTGAAGAGCATCATAACGCTGATATTGATCGGCAAGGATGCAGCAGACTTGGTTCTTATAACATGTCGAATAGTACCCAGAGGAGACGCGTACATCCACAGATTCACCACTAACCCCACGTAACCCAACGTTGTACCCACTTCATCATCGGTCTGGTGTGTGCTTCATGTGACTCCTAGAGCCACGTACACAGTGAAGAGCATAGAGAATGCCACACCACTTGCTAAAAGTCTGTTTACAGCACGACGATCGACAGCCCAGCGGTAGTAGAATACCATGAAGACAATTGACGCCATTTGGCCGATCACTTGCGTGACCAGGAGCGGGAAAATGCTGTCGGTCCTGTACGACCATCGAGACCAGAGGGAGAGCCGCCACTTCGCCTGTTGTCTTGTTCCTGTGAGCTTTGATGATATCGGGGCAAGGGCTCAGGATCATTCCACACTGTGCGATAGTTGTCGCCACTCGAAGTAAAGTAACCCAGTCTCCCATGGCTACCAAAGAAACTGAGCTGCTCGAAAGCAAATTCAAAAATGCTTTCCATCATTGACCTGTTTGAGAGCACCATTGGTATGTGTACCATTGGCACCACTCGTCGAGGAAGGGACGTTGACGAGGAGTCTAAACTCGCTGATGGGAAGGCCCATCCTCCTGATGCAAAGAATTTCGCTAGTCGACACAAAATGTGACACCCACCTTCAAGTACATGTCCTGTATTAATAAACTATACAACCGAGCTTGTAGTTTAGAAACTGAACTTGTAGAATGGTATAGCTTGGGTTTCACAGCTTCAGTTGGTTTTGATTCGGCGAAAAGTACAATTCTGTAGTTTCAAAATTTAATTTTATTGAGTGTAATGTAAGAAATTCTTGTCGTTTCAGGATCGAGTCGCCTCTATTGGCGACGCCAACGCCTGGTAGACCGGGTTCTTAGCCGTTTGCAGTATGCCTTCCTTCGGGGAGATCACAATGGAAATCTGCTTGTCGACGAACTCGAACCCTTCCTCTTGAGCTATCGCAGGCTGCTCTGGTCGGAAACGAATATAGAGCGAGATTTGGATGATACTCAGCACGACACCCGCAATATTCAACGACATGATGAGCATGTCGCCATCCACGATGGAGATGGCGACCCACAAGACGGTGGTGAAGAACATCATGACGCTCAAGTTGATCGGTAACGAAGCAGCCGACCGGGTCTTGACTACGTGCCGAACCGTGCCCAGTGGTGACCCGTACATCCAAAGATTGATCACAATACCGGCATACCCTAATGCTTTGCCTGTCTCGTCGTCGGTTTGATTCGTGACCCCTGCAATGCCCAGCACCACATACGCCGTGATGGCTACATACCCTAAAAGTGCCCACGCCAGTATTTTGTTCAGTGCCGGACGATCACTCGACCACCGATAGTATATCCCCGTGAATACAAAGGCAGCGATCTCTCCGAACAGCTGCGTTACCATGAGTGGAAAGATGCTGTCGGTTAGATACCCGTACAACGCCCTATTGATAAAGGTTTTGGTTAGCGCTCGATTGTGGCAAATACTGTTATGTGGCGCCTCGTACCATAGATGGTTGTTGACGATCATGGCAATCAAGGGAAGCGCGGCCACCTCGCCTGTGGTTTTGTGCTTGTGAGCACGGATAATATCTGGTCCTGGACTGAGGATCATGCCGATCTGGGCAATGGAGGTCACCACGCGAAGCAGAGTCACCCAGACCGTCATGGTCCCGGCTAGAAAATGTGTTGAGGAGATAGAAGCGAGTTGAAAAGTGAGGCGTTCGCTGGAATCGAGGCTCGATTTTGTTGCAGTCGGTTTCGCTGACGCACCGATTCGAGATAGATGGGATGGCGTTCATTGGACAAAATAGATATTCGAAAAATCAGACTCGATACTGTAGGACGAGCACATCTCGTAACTCGCTGTAACTCACTGTAGCGAGTCTCGCTCTGGGCACTTGAACAGAGCGAGACCCTGACGACTGGCTACGCAGCGCTGGAAGGGAGATGACCACAACTCGATTGCGCGGTTTGGATGGAAAGACCGATTTAACGTCGAGACACACGTCACTGTCGTACCGGTAGCTATACCGTACCTCAGGTCTCTAACCGTTTCGCGCTGTACAAGGCACAATTGTGGTCTATACGCTACGTGCAGCCAATCAGAGATCAGGATTTTCAAAAATACAACCTTGGTTGCAGATGGCCGATAATGTACATGTATCTGAATTTGAAGCCGAGTGGAGGTACAGTAATCAAAGGGGACGGAGGATGATTACATGACCGGAGGTGGACAGATGATGAATCCAAGGGAAGAGAAGTCTGAAATAGCTGCGTACAGGGCGATTGTGACCGGGAGTGAGGACGATGCTTGGAATGCATTGCAGTGCATGGGCCTTCCAATCTGGTTGAGC